ATCCTTTATCACTAAAGAGACAGAGTCAGATGGATTTCTGTAAGTTCAAGGCCAGCCTGGTCTACATAGCGGCCAACAGAACATAGTGAGACCCTGTTTCAAACCAAACAAACAAAACAACCCTGGCTTCAGGGCTGATCACTGCCTGGCAGCAAAAAGAGGAAAGGCCTCCAAAGCTTCCTGGCTACCCGAGGGACTTCTCTTCCAGCTCCTCCCATGGATCAGAGCAGTGAACTCAGTAGACTCGTTCTCAATGAATTGAGACAGGAGTGCGATGAAGCTCAGCGCAGCTGCAGGTGGAGGAGAGCTGCTGCTGGACAACCAGAGTTAGGGCTAAAAGCAAGTCTGCAGATGATCCTGAGGCCCAGGAGTTACAAATGGCCAGAAAAGGCAACTCCTCCTAGAACTAAGCTTAAAATTTTATAAACAGAAATGGATCTTAGTGACTTATTCTTCTTATTCTCTTGTATTTTCTGAACTTGCTGTGGGGTGTGTGCATGTGCCTTACACTAGCTGTGAGACCCAAGGCCAGCACTTCAGTTCTTTGAATCTGTGTCCTTATTCTGAAGGGAATGATGCCCTTACCTGTTTGTGAAAAGCAATGAAGGAAACGGTACCACTTTGATAGCATCAAGTGAGTTCTGCCAGGTATCAACAGCTCCAAGAACACTGTCACATTGTCTTCCAATAACCACATAAATAATTCCCATGGATTTAACTTTATAGATAAACCTTATAAGGTGCAGAGAGGTGAAAAGAGCTGCTGCTGTCATACAGCCTAATAGAAGAGCTGGATCCCAATTCAGAATACATGTGGTGGCAGGCTTCAAACCTAAGCACTGTACTCTTGTGCCTCCCTGCTTATCAGGTACCTGACAGCTCCAGGCAGAGTAGTGCCCACCTTGTTAACCCTTCCTTGCCCCACTGTTAGCCCTTCCTCACTCCTTAATAGTCAGTGTCAATGTATGAGAGACAATGTATGAGGTTTCTTTACTCATAACACATCATACTATTTATTGTCTCTCTTAACCTCATGAAATCTCTTCCTATCATTGTGTACTCTTTCACCTACCTTACAAATAATAAACTTAAACATAGCAAGCTACTAGAGCCATATGGGAGTCACTGCCAAAACCTAGTGGAAACTTTGTTCTTTTCCCTTTAAAATCAGCTTGTATGCCCTCACATGACACAGCCTCCATAATAAAGAACAGACCATTCATTTTTTATCTGGAAAACTACCAAACACATAATTCAGTAAGGGGCCTCATGACCCTACCACCTTGTCAAAGAGAAGAAAGTATATAAAAAATGAGGTTTGCAGGAGCAGAGGGTTTTGGTCTGTCAGCTTTCTCTTGGATTACATCCATTAGCCAAGATAAAATAATGTAAGAACTAATGTAACGAATCCCCGTGTCTTTGAAAATACAAGTTAAACACACTGATCCTTCAAACTTACATTTGACATACCAAGGGCAACTGTCAACTCCAGTGGGGTTGCACAGCTGCATGTTTTGTCAATCTGATCTTTCAAATAAAAACGTGATAAGTGTTTGCACTGCTCTGAAAAGAACCCGAGTTAACAGTGGACATGAGCAACACAAATTCACAGCACTGCAGAATCCGGGGACTGTGGAGGGACCTGGCCGACCTGGAGATGGCCTTCTCATCTGGAGCAGTGGGAAGCCAAGGCTCAGCAATGAGACATGGCCTGCAAATCTGCAGACAGGAGTCTAAGAACCAGAGAATGGAGACGCGGACTACAATCTATTCCTCTTGCAATATTTAACCCTTTCCCCCCCCCCCCCCCTTTTTTTTTTTTTTTTTTTTTTTTGAGACAGAGTTTCTCTGTATAGTCCTGGCTGTCTCAGAACTCTCTCTGTAGTTCAGACTGGCCTCAAACTCTGCCTGTCTCTGCCTCCTGAGTGCTAGAATTAAAGGTGTTTATCAACATGCCTGGCCCTAAAAGTAATTTTTAAAGGTTTATTTTTATTTACATGTACATGGCTGTGTGTGTGTGGTTATATGCCAAATGTGTGTGGGTACTCAATGAGACCAGAAAAGAATGTCAGACCCCTCTTTGAGTTGAAGTTATGGGTACTAGGAACTGAACTTGGATCTTTTGGAAGGGCAGCAAGCATTCCTATGAGCCATATCTCCAGCCCTTCCACTTGTAAATCTTGCTCTAATATTCAAGAGTACTTTCAGCACTTTCCAGAATTATTTATCTGAATAGAGAGTAACAGAAAAACTTTCAATTCTTAGGTCCTGCCCATCAATTACTGATCATATGATCTTGGGCAATCTCTTCATTTCTCGGAGCCTCAGTGCCTTTTGTCGATGCACCGTGGGTCACTGGAGCTTTCTCAAGCAAGCTGGTGATGAATACAAAGAAGACGCCCGACAAATGGACGATGAGCGAATGTAAGGTCTATGCGTGCCCGGCAGAACCTGGTACAGACACATGCTCAGCAGATGCTTCCCAAGCACATATGTACCAGGCTTGAACCCAATTCTGTCTGGCTGCTAAACACACGCTTATACTGCCCAATTCACACACTCTCAGAGCAGAGTGCCAACTCAGTTTTGTATGGTATGAAGAACACACCTATTTTCTGGCTATACGGCAAGGAAGAGCTCAGTCAGGGAAGTTCTTAGCTTCCTCGGTGTTATGGCTGCTTCTCATGGCTGAGTGTGGTGGTACAAACCTGTAACTCACAGCACTCTGAAGGCCGAGGCAGGATGGTCTCCCTGAACACATAGCAAGACCTCAATATTAATTAAAAATAAAATAAAAATCTTGGTGCTACCATGACACTTTGCAATCAAGGAAACCGGAGCAGAACTCCCAGCTTTAGTAGAAACGAAGGCCTCAGAGGCACTAGTTTATCTCTTAGAGCCAATCATGTGTCAACTGAAGCAATTTCCACAAAGTAATACAGCATGACAGGTGGCACAAAAGGAACCGCAGGCATCCCACTTCCCTTCTAGTGAGTTGGAAGATGACATTCGTTTGCTTCACATCATTCAAATGCCCCTTCCTTTCTAAATCCTGCTTTTACAAATCCCCAAATTTCTCTAATGTTTTAAGAAGGCTTTAAAAAAACAACCATGTATGTAAGTGCAAGTACTCAAGAGGCCTGTGGTAGTGGGAGTGGAAATGTCCTCATTCGGTGTATATGTCTGAATGCTTGGACCCTGGTTGGTGGAAATGTGAAAGGATTTGAGGGTGTGGCTTTGTGAGGAGTGGAGCTGGCTCTGAAGTTTCAGAAAGATTCTTGCCATCCTCGTGTACACTCTGCTCTCTTTTTGAGCTCTCAGCTGCTGTTCCAGCATCATGCTCACCTGCCTGCCACACTTCCTACTATGATGGTAACAGATGCCTATCAGCCCCAAATAAACTCTTCCATGTATAGGCTGCCTTGGTCATGGTGTTTTTCCATAGCAATAGTAACTAAGACAATACCAGAAGGCAGATCAGACCCCTTGGAACTAGAGACACAGTTGTAGGCTGTCTAATGTAGATGCTGGGAACAAGCCAGGTCCTCTCTCGCAGTAAGTGAACCATCCCTCCAGCCCTCCTCCTCCAGCTCTGTAGCCTGCTGATTCTTCATAGACATCACCACCACTGGACATTACATTGAGAGTTTACGATATCTGCTCAACTATCAGGTCAGTTCCAAAGGAACAAGTGTCATTGTTTTGTTTACTGCTGCACCCTAATAATTAGGAAAGGACTCGGCTTACAGTTAGTATTTGTTGACCGGCTAAACAAAACTGATCCAGTGGGAGGCACCGTGTAGGAACAGGGCTTAGCTCTTCTGCTCGCATCCCACCCGGAGTGCCGTGACTTTGTTCTTTTTGTCCATTCTGTCTCCTAAATTCCATGTTAGTCAGCCATGACAGACACACTCACAACGTCCCTACTAGATCAATCCTTTCCATCAACCATCCAATGGCTTCTCATTACTTGTTCCTCCATGGCTGTCCAAGCTCTAATCTCACTACCCTGTCCTAGAGCTTCAGACACACCCGATTTTCTTTTACTCAAACATGCCACCATCCTGTCGGTTCTTCCAAGGAAGAGTTTCACTGTGTAAACAAGGCTGGCCTTGAGCGTGTGATCATCCTGACCCCATTTTCCAAGCATTATCATTTCCTTTAATTAAAAAAAAAAAAATTATTATTGTGGGGATTGCTGCCAGAGCACACCTGTGGAGACCAGAGGACACCTCTGTAGAGTCAGTTCTCTCTTTCCACCTTTACATGGGCTCACAGATTAAATTCAGACTGTCGGGCTTCTGTCAGACAAGAATTTTTTTTTCACCCACTGAGCCATCTCATCAGCCCTGTCTTCTCTTTTGCAATTTAGGAACAAAGCTCTATTTTTATTCATTTAAATGTCCATTAAAAAAACAAAACAAAAGCCACGACTCTGGACTTATGCCTTTAATTCTTCAATTACCAAAGAACAATGTAAAAATAATTCGACAGGGAATATGGGATTAGAGTTGACAAGTGTCAAGTTGCTTTCTGATCTGAGGACTTTGCACTTGCCACTCTCCCTTCTTGGAATGTTTCCTTCAGACTGATGATTCCATCTCGTCATCAGGCAGAAACATTAGCTCCTTACAGAATCCCCCCACCCTAAAACTGCCCTTTCCGCTCTCTCTCCCATCCATCATTCTCACTTGAATATTGTTGACTTCCTCCTAGAATTTATTTCATTTCTTCTGTAATGACTGCATGCTAACCCATCCTAACTTCCCAGGCAGAAGGTGTGTAAGTGTTCTGCAGGCTCACAGCTGTAGACCAAGCACTTAGCACACACAGGCATTCGGTAAGTCCATGGGTACCAGCAAACTGAATCACAGCAGAGCCAGGGTGAAAGAAGCAGGTAAGTGAGCAGCCACTGGCCCAAGAGTGAGACGAGGTACTGGTTCCCATCCAAGGACAACTACCACAAGTCACTGAAATACATGGATTTCAGCCAAACTTACTTAGGAATGGGTACTCGAATTAATGTTCCTTCCACTTCTGGGTTCAGATTCATTCCACTTTCTCTTATAGCCTTGATAGCTGCAGCTGTACACTGAAAACCAGATCAAAAGGTAAACAGAATTAGTAAATAATTATTACCAGATGCAAGCCCTCTGTCGATAACTGGCAACCCATCTTGGCAGAACATGGAAACATTTAGTTCTGTTACCAGTAAGATCAGGAAGTTACACTGGTGTAGAGTGCTTTGATCAAGCTGAATAGCAAACTATGTCCACTCCTGGTACCAGTGTATTGCGGAAGGAAAAAAAGAAAGAAGAAAAAATAAAAAGAAAACAGCTCTGCTTCTTTGAAAAGATTTCAATGGTTTGAGGCAACACAGATCAAAACCACAATAAATCCTCAAGGGAGGAGGGCTGGTCTGTGCAAAGATCGGTGCAAAGACAGATGAAAGATTTCATACGTTAAAAATTCCAGTTGACATTTTACACTCAAAATATACCAGTGCCAATGTGGAATGAGTAAATAAATTTAACTCATTCGCATCTACCCTCATACCAAACTCCCTCATACTTTGGAATGAGCAGTAAACCTCCACTGGCATGCACAGCAGGAAAAACAGAATGGTAGAAGAGTGAAAGCACGGGTCTTGGAATCAGAAAGACTTCATTTTAAATCCAGCCCTGAGACTATGTACCTTGAGCAATAAATATGACCATTCACACCAAATATCACTAAGACAGTGAGATAATGTAAGCATGCACCTTCATCAGACTGGCACAGTTAATACTTAGTCAGGAGCAGTTAGTATATGAACAAACCATCTCCACGTTCTGAACATGTATAAAGTCCTCAAATGAAAGGCGGAGCTAACGTAAACCCTGACACACTGCTGTCCTAACATCCTTCAGGAACTTCTCTCAAGCTCACTCACTGGTACACAGGTTCCCTTGTCCAGCCTCGTCTTTGAACAGTGTGTTGACTGCACCCTGTCCTAAAGGCAACAGGAAGTGGGTGGAAGAGATTTCTACTGGATGACAGTGAACTCATAGGAACAAGGCTTTTGGTATGTTCAAAAGAACCTTTCTTTCTCCAGAGCTGATCCATGCCTCTTGGATTCAAAGGCCAATCCCTGCCCATGAGTTCCGCTCCAGCTCGTACATATGAAAGGCATGGAGGGTGTTACATACCTATTTTACTTCTCCAAGCATGTCGCTGTTACTGTTTTAGAGGTACCAAAACAAACAAACAAAAAACCTTCCTGTTCCATCTTTTAATGGTCTTTTAATAATCTTTTAATTCTACACCTATATAAGGTCAAAATGGCAAACCAGAACATCTACACACAGATGTGTAAAATCTAAGTGTGTGCAGAATATAAGTATGGCCAATGATTACAACAGAAAAATTTAAAATGGTGCCTCTGACCATAGCCTCTTAGTGTTGGAGAGGGATCTCTGTCATAACCCATCTGTTTATTATGAACAAGGGGCCTACCGGGCTTAGTGAAATCCTTTAGACTAGATAGTGTTCTTTGACAGCCCAAAAAATACTCAATACAGAGACAACCTTTCAAGCTTCAGTTACTTGCTCAGGAGTAAGGACAGGCGGAACTACATTTAGTAATGTTACTTATCTATACTTTCATAAATCCTCAAACTCAGTGTATTCAGTAACTATTACTTAAGGAAATGACTATGAACAATAAATACATATAAAAGTGCAGCTGCTCAGTGGTTAAGAGCACTTGTTGCTTTTACAGAGGAGCCAAGTTTGGTTCTCAGCACCCATGTGGCAGCTCACAGTCATCTGTAGCTCCAACAGCAGGAGCCCATCACCTTCTGGCTCCTGTGGGTACTGCATGCATATAGTACATCTATAAGCAGGCAAAACTCTCACTCGTATAAAGTAAAATTAAACAAGCATCTTTTTGCAGGGAACAGCTGCCCTTAATAAAACCATTCACATATAGAGTTCAGAGTACCCTACCCCCGACATAGAACCTCCTCACTATAGATGGCTATGAGCCCCGACTTTATAGAGGCAGCTTTATCTACCATCTCCCAGTTTTCTACAGTTTCTCATCACAAACCGATAACACACTGCTGAAACACCCCCTACCACCTCCAAGCTCCTTCTCCGTCCGGCCCAAGTAACACCATGCAGCCTTCCCCGTAGGTGCAAGTACTCACTACTGACATTCAGCTAGGCAGGAAGCATGTCTCAGTATTTCCACCTTTGCAGGAGAAGGCACACTGCCAGTGAAGTACAAGGTAAGGTGCAGCAAAAACTTGATGAATGAATACTACTAGTAATCCTGTTTAAATCTGTTAGAAAATGCATCTCCTGACTTCACCTCAAAACCTTACTTTACAGTTTAGTTTTTGTATGTCTTCATACTCAGGGAAAAATATTAATTGAGATTTCTTATAAAGAAATCCATTGAAAGTAATTCTTCTCATTTATCCTAAGCATGTATGTTTTGATTTGACATGGTAGGACACAGACCTTAAAAAAAACATAATCATTTCCCTAACAGTACATTTAAACTATTCATGAGTCAAACAAAACAAAACAAAAGGGCATACATGCATATACAATTTCCATCCCTTATCTTAGCCTTTACTCCATCACTGGAGGGGGACAGTCACCAGTATCAAAAGGGCAGAGTGCTTGCCTTGCTCTCAGCACTAACCAACTGGTTATGGCTGCTGGAATACTGTGATTGGAGAAAGATCACTGACCCCATCATAGGGACAAGCGGAGAAGAGTTCCACAATCAATTAACAATGTCTGCCCTTGCTATTCTTAAGCTAATCCACCAAGATGGACACGGAATGGCAAAATGTCTGTAGGCAAGTGAACAAACTCTGTTAATGCCATATCAGTTATTGGCCTTCCATTTTGTTTATACCTCCATGAGTCCCTAAAATACAAGATACATGAAAACGGGCCTCTAGTGTCTCTTAATCATCAATGAGTTCATGCCCCTACCCCCCACATAGAACCTACTCACTACAGATGGTTATGAGCTACCATGTGATTGCAGGGAACTGAACTCAGGATCTTTGGAAAAACAGCCAGTGCTCTTAACCTCTGAGCCATCTCTCCAGCCCCGTGAACCTACTCAAAAGATACTAGTGAATGAGTGGAGGATGGTGAAAGGAGCACCAGCCTCTGTGTCAAGCAGAGCAATGTTCAACAGCAGTGTAAAGCTAGGAGGAGCTCCCTTCTTTGAGCCTGTTACCTCATGTAAAAAACTGAACAGTTGTGTTCATCTTACTGCTGACGGTGTGAAATAAGCTGTAGGAAAGTGCCTGCCAACCCAGCAGAGATTTGCTGCACATCACTTCTCGTCAATCCACTGAAAAATAATGGAGACCACTGATATTTGTGGTTGTTGTTACTGTTCTTTGCTTATTCAAATGATGCTATGCATTTTGTTTTGTTTTTTTCACTTTTCTTTCCCATCATTAGTTGTAGTTTCAGGTATGTTTAGGGAAGAAAGCAACTATGTGCACCATTTATCAAGAAGAATATATGCTAAATAAATGAAACTTTTTTTTTTGCCTTCAATGTGTTTGAAAGATTATACATGTAAATCTGCATTGTGTCACAACAGCATGACACAGAAATGTTCAGGTTTGGAAAGAAAGCCAAATGCACATGAAACAGAAAGGGATTCTATAAACACAAGGAGGATTAGCTCAGCATTCTGAAGCTATGAACCCCGGTACTCTATGGGCAGCTTCTAAAGCTGGAGGAAGGAAATGTTTAGTTAGAGCTGTTTGTTTAATGTATACAGCAGATGAGATAAAGAAATTCAAAGGACAACATAACTCCCACTTCCTCAGTGTGCCTGTTCATGGACCCCTCTACTGAGACACTGGTAAACATTTGCCCAAAACCCAGGGAACTGCATCCTAGAGAAACAGCAAAGAGACTTTAGTTGAAAGATGAAAAAAAAACCACTCCAACTTCCTACAAAAAAAATTAAGCAGTTAATACCTCCTCCTGCCTCATAAGAGATGCTCTGGTGGCCAATCAGGTCCTACTTCTCTGAATATCATTTGCTTTTAATAACAGAAGTGGCTGGCTCTGCAAAGCAATCTGCCTGATGAGGTCTTCAAGCTGTGTAATTAGGAGACTATTCCCTAAATTGGCCTACTGTGCCTCTGGGATTAGATGAACAGGGCAGAGAGGCCTCAGGAGTTCAGAGGGGCCAACAAGGGAAAGAGCTGACCATTCCCTTTTCATCCATTTCTATACTTCTCAGTAACGCCATGAATGAGTACTTCTCTTCCATAAATCTAGCAACACATATCCACCAACTTAAGGACAACATATGGAGTGCTTCGATGGGCCAGGCACTGTGTTTGATGTGGACACGTGAATATGTTATATATGACTCTTGTACTGAAAGCTTACAAGCTAGTAAAAAAGTGACACCTATATTGTAATTCAAACATGAGTGGTAAATACCCAACCAAAAATGCTCCAAGCCATAGGAGCAGTACCTACAAAGGCCCAGAGGATGAAAAAGATATGTGTTTCAAGGCCCATGTGCGTAAAGCAGTGTACCAGGATACGGTGCCACAGGGCTGCAAAGATTGGAAGCAGGCCACCACGGCCAGATCACCCAAAACCTTCTGGGCCACAGGAGAGATTTTGGGCTTTTGTTTCTTAAAGATCATTTGAATTATGAAAATGATGCAATCCAATATATACTTTGAAACACTGAAGTTCATTTAGGCTGCAGGAGGAAGAATGGAGCGGGGCAGCGGTTGAATAACCGCACTCTAGAAGTGGCCTGTCAGCCACAGGAGTCTTCTGGTTGGAAACGGCTTGTTCTGCTCCTACTATTAAGCTAGTTTGTCAAATCCTGCCATGGACAAAACTACTGAAACAGAGACCGTAACAGGAAGGTGAGGAAATGGAGGCCCAGAGAGGAAGTAACTGTCAAAGGACAATGCCAGGCAGAGGCAGAGAGAAAACTAGACTTCAGGTTCCCCAGGTTTCTCAACTATAGCCACAAGGTTAGCTGCAATCCAGGCCAGTCTCTAAAGCCAGGCACTACATGTATTATTTTATCTAGTTTGAAGGAAGGTAAACTCCTGGAGAGTCTTCTCCAAGTTCTAATATATTAGTCACAAAACAGGCCATACGTGGCCCATTAAAACGTTTTATTTGTCTCAAGGGTTTTCTGTTTATTTTGAGGTAGTTTCATCTGTAGCCTTGAACTCCCCCTAATCCTCCTGCCTCCACCTCCAAAGAGCTGAGATAACAAGACACATGTCAGCACTCCTGGCTGTGCGACATTTTTTTTAAAAAGAAAAGTGAATTAGTCCCAAACATTTAGAGAACAAAACATACTTTGTACACCATTCAGGGTTACTAGCTTCTTTTGAAAACAAAAACTGGAGCATCTGCTAACACTAATTGCCAGGCCTCCATTTCTGCCTGACAATTTTCAGCAAGAACTGGGGAGAGGTGAGCAGAGCTAGGCCACATGATGACTTCCAGGTGTGGTGGTCTGAATGAGAACGGCCCCCTTAGGCTCAATAGTTGAATGTTTGAACCCATTTGGTGGAACTGTTTGGCAAGGATTACTAGGTGTGGCCTTGTTGGAGAAGGTATGTCACTATAACATTTGATTTTAACAAGTAAGAAACTTAGAGATAAGAGAGATTTTCTTATCATAAATTTTCTTTAGTAAATTTCTTCCCAAACTAAGAGCACATTTCCTTCTGATCTGATCAAACTTTTATTCCAAAAGAAACTGACCAGTAGGGTCTGTCTTTCTACTTTACCTCTGGGAAGCTGGCCATATTCACCAAAATCAACTGTGGCGACTTCATGGAGATCTGACCAATCTGATTTAGAGCAAGCTTCCCATCAGCAGTCACCACAGTAATACGATCAAGAGAACCTAGAGAAAAACAATAAGGTTTTAGAATTCTAAAGGACCTTAGAAGCCTGTATCGCTTTATCTAAATCAGATTCCACAAACATACAGGAACCTCTTACCAATGTGACAATACTGTTCATAGGAGCAGTTTCAGGCAGTGGAGAATGTGCAATACTGGCAGAACCTTGTTGGAATTTCTTACTAGAACTAGAACTAGGGTAAGTAGCCGTTCTGGTTTGCCTGGACTTAAAGCCTCTCCTATGACATGGGACAGTTCATCACTAATGGAAGTCAGCACAAGAATTCAAGCAAGAGCTGATGTAGAAGCATGGACAGGTACTGCTTACTGGCTTGCTCCCCTGCTTGTTTGCCTTCCTTCCTTTCTTTTTTTTTTTTTTTTTTTTTTTTTTTTGTTGTTGTTGTTGTTTGTTTGTTTTGGTTTTTTGAGACAAGATTTCTCTGTAGACCAGGCTGGCCTAGAACTCACAGAAACTAACCTGCCTCTGCCTCCAGAGTGCTGGGATTAAAGGTGTGTGCTAACACCCCCAGACCAACCTGTTTTCTTATAGCACCCAGGACCACCAGCCCAGAAGTGGTACCGCCCCCAATAGGCTGGGCCCTCCCTCACCAATCACTAATTAGGCTTTTACAACTGGCTCTTCTGGAGGCATTTTCTCAGTTGGGGCTCCTTCTCTCAGATGACTCCAGCTTGGGTGAAGCTGACATAAAACGATCCAGCACAGAGCTGAAACTGATCCTCCTTTCAGCAGCTCTACCATTTACTAGCTAGACACCACTAAGGAAAAAAACCACTTACCTTCTCTGCCTTGGTTTCCAACTCAGCTTAAGCACAGTAGCTGCTTACAGAATTACAGTGATCACTACAGCTAAACAGAAACAGCCAACTGCATAACATACCAAAGACCACGCATTGAAAAGTTCCTCCTACTCTCCCTTCTGAGTTCTTCCCATCATCCCACACCGTAATGCTGTTATCCTGCCATCACTTTACAGAGATGAAATGAGAAAAATAAACGGACCAAGATCTCAAAGTTAACAAGTGAAAAACAATCAAGGCAGAGAGTCAAACTCAAGTGTGCTCAAGTCTGATTTTAAGTAAAGTTCTCTACACAGAACTGTGCACAGAATCATCAGGGCTTTAGCCTTTACACACACACACCCCAACTCAGACATCCTGACTAGGGTGTAATGTTTTTAATTCACCACACAATTCTAGCCAGTTTAGAACAACTTCCTCTGTCACCCTTGCCTTTGGTCCTGAGATCCTCTTCAGAAACATGTCCACTAAAACAAAAACAAACAAACAAAAACCCACAAATTATTTTTTTCCAGGCCCAAGATGATTTTTTTCTAGTGCCTATTGAGTTGTGATGTCATTTATTTAAAGTTATTCACTTTACTTCTTGATCGTAGCCTCCTCCTTCATCCCTTCCTGCACCCCCTTCTCCCTCCCCTAGTCCTCAGAAAGGGAGAGTCCTCTTCCCTTAGTAACTGGCCACAGACTGTGAAGTCTCATCAGGACTGCCTGCATTCTCTTCCTCTGTGGCCTGGCACAGCTGCCCCGCCAGAAGGAGGTGATCAAAAAGCAGGCAACTGAGTTCATGGCACAGACAACCTCTGCTTCCCTCTGCTCCCCTTACTAGGGATCCCACATAGAGACTGAGCTGCCTAAAGGCTACATCTGAGCAGGGGGCCTAAGTCCTCTCCATGAATGGTCCTTAACATCACAAATTATTAACACCTCACTATTATTCTGGATCTGATCTGTTTCCAGACCTGAATTCTGTAAAATCCTGAGCAAAAATTTCATTAGTCAAAAAGATAAATAAATCCACAGCTCTAGATGGGACATTATTCAAAGTCCCTGATTTCCTATGCAAATGAAACTAGCAGAAAACCCTTATCACTCACAGTAGGAACCACTCATGAATGGCTCATTCTAAGATACAAAGAGAAACAGGGTCCTGGAGGTGGGGGAGGTATCTTTCAGATAAACTGAAGCTATTCTGGTAATATATTGTAGATTAATGCAGTACCACACTATGGCCCAAAGATCTGACTTGAAACATTTGACCAGATTCAGTGTCATCACAATATGACAGACAGCTGTAGACACCACTGGCTTTAACCTGCAAAAGTACAGGCAGTATAATGATAAAAAAAATAAACAAATACATAACCACAATTCTAATAATTCAAAGACCTAATAACAGTTTGATGCTTCCAGATTCTAAGCCCCTTCTGGGCCTCCACTTCCTGAAAAAAACTGTACTTACAGGGCTTTTGTGAGGAATAGATCCAAAAGTATATGAGAGGCATTTATAACTATGACCAAATAGTGTTATTATTTTTTTAGAATTTTTGTTTTAATCAAACTAACATCCTTGCATATAATTGTCCTTCTATTAGGAAAATGCTAATCTTTTTTTAAAATTATAAAAGTTATTTAATTCACATAGCTTAAAACCAAGAATAAACTTAAGTAAGAAAGTATAGCTGTCTGGTTTAAGAGTTACAAAGCAGTGGTCGAAGGACCTGAAGAAACACAGGAAGTTATCTTCCACGGTCAGACTAGTTAATAGTTTTTAAATGACCACATCACCCAAGGTGATCTACAGAACCAGCCACTGGTGGATATAAATTAGCTAACTGAATCATGTTATAAATTTTGTAAAGTTTTCTCATCTTTTAAAATTAACTATAATCACTTAGAAATTTTAGGTTCAGGTTTCCATACATCAATAGATCAAGCGGAAGAGAACTGATATCTTAATAGCACTGAATTTCTCAATCCACAGTATTTTAAATTCACTTATCATTTTTTCCCAACATTTCTTGAATAAATTGTATTTGAAGCTGAGTCTACTGACTCACTACCATGATCCTAGTATTTGATAAGCTGAGGTAGAACAAATGTTAGAAAATTCTAGCGTGTAACTTTTTTCTCCCTCAGGTCTCACTGTGTAGCTCTGGCTGGGCCTGGAGCTCTCTATGTAGACCACTATGTAGAAATATTCTTCTTTATTCAGATAATTCCTGCTTCCTTGTTCAAGTCTCTCTGTAGTAGGTCCTCATCTCGGGCACCTTGTCTGAGTGCTCACTTGTGTACAGAACCTGCTCCTAAGCCAAGCATCCTAAGCTGGAATACATCCTATAGGCAATGCTTCATATTAATGCATTTAATGTTTACTTGCTTTCATTATCTTACAAGATGATTATGACTGTCACCCTATTACAAATGAGGAAACTGAGGCAAACAGAATGATTTGCCCACCATCACAGGGGCTCCTAATTACAGAACTTAAACCCAAGAACAAGCATGACCGTCTCCAGCCACGTCCTCACTGGTCTGCTGTGTCAAGTGCGTTCTACACATTAGCTTACTTGTCTGCCCTTCAACATAAGGTTCTAAGCCTGGACACTAGGAACCAGTCTTCCCTCTCCATATCTACACCTACTAAAGTAAAGGCACAAAATGTGCTAAAAAAAAAAAAAAAAGTTTACCACTATGCTAAACAAACAAATGGATGAAGGGTGAAGGGAAAGGGGCAAGAAGAAAAACAAGCCTGTATCTCAGATGAACACTGACAGATGTCAGCGATCTCTGAGACAGATGGATGGGAAGAGGAAAAGTGTTGCTGGTTCAGGTAACCAAAAGATGATGTGGAAGAACCTGTCCACCAGAGACCACTGGCTAAGGTTAGCATATTTCACCCAGTTTCTTTACAGCCTCAAATTCTACACACACAAAAAAATTACACAGACTTAACCTGAAGTAAAAAAGCAAAAAGGAAATGCCAAGGGGAGGTCTGCTGAGGACGGGTCTTAGCTCAGCCTCCCTGATGAGCTGTGAGAGCCTTTGCCACAGAAGTCCCCACATGAGCACCTCAGTGTGCAGTTGTGGTGGTTCCTATCCCTCAATCCATGTTGACATAATGCATCAAATCCTTTCCCCTCAATCTGTCCCCAGTGAGAATCTCCCTCAAGCTCACTCCTGCCCCTCATTTTCTCAGAGGTTAACGTTTAACAAATTACACTCCCACCCTCTTTCCAAGCCCATCATCTTTTTAAGTTCAACAAGAGTGGAACTGGCTGGCTCATTTTAAGTATCACATTTCTCCCTGGGCTTCTCTCAAGCTGCTCTCTGGTTTCGGCTGCAGAATGTTAACAGGCCAGAAAGCACAGGGGAGACAGAGCACTTTATCAGGTTCATACCTAAAATAATAAGCAAGCTTAAAATAAACAGTTGGGAGAGATTGAATGGCACGCTTTACTGTCAGCAAAGGCAGAAACACCCCAGTACAAAGGTTAACAAATGCCAGGAACCGCCTTCCAGTCTCACGCCAGATCGCATCTCTGAATTCAACATGGTTCTGATCGTTTTTATAATGAACTGAGTACTTTCCACAAACAAGCTCATAAAGTGTCTTCTATTTTCCTTATGAACCTCCCCAATCAAAACACGAGAGAGAGAGGTTGAAGCTCCTGCAGATACCTTCAGAGGGGGTCCCAGGCTTAACTATAGGATGATGACAATTTGCAAAAGGCCAATTTAACAGCAATTGGATTTTTCCTGCCCACTTGCACCATTAGCTGACAAGCCACTTCTCCATCACATCTGCAAACAGTTCTCCTAGACAGTTCTGACATTTCCCACTTAGAAAAGCCACTTTCAGGAAGCTATTAACCTAAACGGGATCTTCCTGGTCAAGCTCATGGGCACAGAAAGGTCTCAGGTGGGCATGTCTGTAGACTTGGTTTTCAGTACAGGGTAAGAACTAACAAGTAGAACAAACTGGAAAAAGCAGACATAGGACTATGAGCTGAGATACCTGTATATGTTTTAGTATCCACAAGAAAAACATCTTTTTGAGAGTATAATTCCACAGGAGGGCTGATCACAACATGGTTGGCTCACCACTGTGCAAATTCTCTGCGGGCCAAGCACAATGCTATCCCACAGGACACTGCTGACTAATGGACACATGCAGCACACTCCAGAGCCACAATACACACTAACTCAGTGACGTTCTACTGCCCAAAGCTAACAGCAGGAACTGGACAAGGAAACACCTCAGTCATGAGAAGTAACTGCTTATAAATACTAGTTAGTCATGCCAAAGCTGGAGCCGACACGGTGAAAGGGCCATGCTCTTTCCCACTGTAACCTTCCTGAAACATGGGTTCGGCCACTAACCTGGTGCAGTCCTTATGTTGAGGGTCTTATTGAAATTATCCTTGAGTGCTTCCATCACAGATTTCATTTCTTCATCCACCTCTTCCAAGTTGATTATATCTTCAACCAAGGCTGTATTAATATTCACTCTGGCCTGAGGCTGTCCTTTCCCTTTAGCTAAAAGTCAGTGAACAAAAGAATAGAAACATACACACAAATAATAAGCATTGGCTTTTTAAAAAGTTCCTACTGTGTACAGGACAAACTGCCAAGTGCTAGAATTTTATAAAAATCATCTCTGCCCTACACGGGAGCTCACATGTACTGTCAGCTAGCTCCCAGGTCTGCCAAATCCTTGAACATTAGCAAGGGCAGCAGTTTTTTAAGACAGATACTCTGGGTTAAAGCTGCTGTAGTGCACACTGGCTCTATGATCTTGGGCAAGTTACTTATCTTGGTAAAAGAGGACTTAAATCTGTATTATAAAGCTGCTACAGGAATACAAACGAAGCCATTCACACACCCCAAAGAGTACTACACATATACCAAGGAATCCAGGAGTAAATTAACACCTTATTTTCCAGGAAAAAAAAAAAAATGGAAGACAAGACTTGCCTAATGTTAGAGGTCAGGAAATGGTCAAGTCAAGATTTGGTCCCAGATTGCTCTAATTTTAAGCCCATGAACTTTTCATAAGACCATCTCTACAAATCTAATGGAGAGAAAGGAAATGTATTAATTCAGCTTTAGCTTACTAAGACAAGGTAATGTTCAGCACTATATGGCTGATCTAGCTAGACAAATGAACTGCAGAAACATTAACTACTTCCCACCAGAGCACACTGACTCGTACTTTAGAAAATCAGCAGTGCTGGAGGCAGATGGAATCTGATTTCAAGTCTAAACCATGAGGGGTTTTTCCCATACATTCTATGTGCACGTGACACAAATACTCTTGTATTTCTACATGGAGGTGGGAAAAGAGATGATGAAAATACTTAAATAGTATCTGTGTAATGAAGACTACAATCCTTATTTACCAAATGTTTAAGAAAACATTATTAAAATTCATTCAGCATTTTTATTATCTACAGCTAGCCCGACTGTGCTGTATTCCACGTCCTAATTTGCAATGCAATTTTAAATACATTCTTCCGTTTGATATTCAAGACAGTTTTTTGAGGTAGGAAAATGAAAACTCTGAGGTGCACAGCATTTAAATATTTTTCCCCAAATAATCAATGAATAAAAAGCAAAGTGACTTTTTTCCAAAGATCTGTTCAAGCCACCATCCTGCTTGAAGCCCTGACTGCTTTGAATAAACAAGCTAATGGCTTAGAATTTTTGGAGCTGATAAAGGATGTCAATTCAGAAACACTCATCACAAACAGGACAATAAAAGAAAATCCATATCTGAACAAACTGTGAATAAAAAAAACCAAAGACATACAGATCATTTTAAAAGCTGGAGGGAAAAGACAGATTTAGGCATAAGGAATCAAAATTATATGTTGAACAAAGAGGCCAGGCACATATATATATACTATCGTAAAAAAAGCCGCACAGTAGATGTCACATAGAAGAATACATCCTGAATATTATAACAGACCAACCATCCATGCCACCAGACATCTGAATAATTACCTGGAGAGGGCACGGGGAAAAGGAGGCACTCAATAGATATGGGTGAAGAGGGACTTCTGATGTGCTGAGAATATTCAAAACCAGGACCAGAGTGTTCTACCACTGAGCTACACCCCCAGTCTCTGGTTTCTGAGACAATGTCTGGCTATGTATGTATGTCTGTCTGCTTCAGTCTCCCAAGGGCTAAGATTACAGGCAGGGGCCCACACACACCAGGTCTTGATTGGGGGGTAACGGGAATCTTGGTTACACTGGTGATTTCAGTTTGTGAAAATTAGCAAGTTGTAGTTTTATTTTTATGAAAAGGTTAAAAAAAAAGTTAAGAGTAACTAGCCAAGTAAATCCAGCTGGTATACACACAGCTTGCAAATCAGAAGAGATGAAACAGGAAAAAAAGAATCCTGATTAACTTAATAGAAAAGAAGAAAAAGAGAAAAAGAAAAGAAAACCACAAAAAGCACAAAACAAAATTAAAATGTAAATATTTAACAAATAAGATAAACAGAAATGAACCAAAAATCTCAGGGCTCTCAGTAAGACTTTAATCTAACCATACAGATATACAAGAAAATTTATAAATATGTGTAAAATCACAGGTTTAATGGATTGAAATTTTATAAACCTTGAAAATATTAGTCAGTTTTCTTATATTTAACAGCAAGTAAAATATTTTAAGACAGTGAATTATTAGAAATGAGGGCTACTTCAAAATGATATCAGAAGATATATAACAATTCACAATTTAAACATAAATAAGAAATATAAACACATAAATACAGGCACACATACACACACACAAAATGAAAAGGGGGAAACTGTTTATTGTACAAACACACCAGGAGAGTTTTTGTTTTTTGAGATAGGGTTTCTCTGTGTAGCCTTGGCTGTCCTGGACTCACTTTGTAGACCAGGCTGGCCTCAAACTCACAGAGATCCGACTACTTTTGCCTCCCTGAGTGCTGGGATTACAGGTGTGTGCCACCACCACTGGCTCACACCAGGAGATTGTAACACACCTTTCTTGTAACCACTAAGCAGATCAAAGAAAAAGTTAAGTAAGTGGAGAACATGATTCTAATCATGTTTACTTTAATGCTATTTACTCAGGAAGCTAAGATATCTGTGACTATCAAGCTATCAAGGCCAGCTTGGTCTACACAGTGCATTCCAGGCCAGCCAGGAGGAGGAGGAAGAGGAGGAAGAGGAGGAAGAGGAGGAAGAGGAGGAAGAGGAGGAAGAGGAGGAGGAGGAGGAGGAGGAGGAGGAGGAGGAGGAGGAGGAGGAGAAAAAAACTAAATAGAAAACATAAAAATATTATTACCAACAAAATAAGACTAACAACATTAAAGGATTGTCTAAAGCTTGTAATACTGATACATTTCTGGCAATATGAGGATGATATGAAAGACGTAAATACATGCTAAGAAAAAGAGAACATAAAACATTTATCAAAAATTTCAATCTTAAGAGGCTATTTAGGTACAATTTTAGATCAACAGCTTTGAAAACAGAAAAGAATTCTAAAATAAACAATTAAGCAGTCTCATAATTATTAAAGAGACTGAATCTATAATTTCAAGTCTATATATACATACCAGATCCAGATGAATTTTTTTTTTCAGATCCAGATGCATCTACAGCAAGGTTCTACTACCAAAGAGGCAAGGAACTAATGAGTCCTGACTTTAAAGAGAGAAGTACTCATCTCACCCCAGAGGCTCAGATAAACAACAGCCAGACCTAAAAATGACAGCGAAAGAGCTAAGCCCTCAGTAGGTGAAACTACACTCAGGCTAATCTTACAGATGCAAAGACCAAAGAGCTTAATATTTAATCCTATATACAAGCTTGATAAATCCAGAGTGAACACACAGATTATATGTTAAGCAAGATATTTACAAATTATTATCAAGAATAAGCAGGGCTCTTATCAAAATTGCAAAAATGGTTTAACACCAGAAAAGCTATTGATATTGAGCTATGCTACGAACAGATTAAAGGTGGAGTAGTGCAGGGGGTACGGCACAGAGTAGAGGCTGTGCTTGGCACACACCAGGCCCCGAGTTTAATCCCCAGTACAGCAAAAGTTAAAAGGAGGAGGAGGTACAGCCATCTCAGTACACATGATGTATCATTTGATTCGAATTTAGTGCCTTTCTAAAAAGCTCAAGAATTCGATACATTTACTTAAAAGAGACTATGGAAAATATAAAGGAGACATTCTTTATGTCAACATATAAGAAATGTTCTATCTAAAGTCAAGAATAAAGGAAGCACGCCCATTTATCACCGATCACACTTATTCAAATTAGACTAGATTTCCTAGGCAATGCAGTGGGAGGGAGTAAAGAGAGGATGGGAACCTACGTGCATGCATGTGGACCAAAACAAGTGTACAAGAATGTTTATACTTCAGTGACACTGTTAGTTTAACTCCAAATTGGAAATGACCCAGACACCACTACAAGGTACATACATGAACTGCAGCGGCATATTTAGGGCACTACAAAAGTCAAAGCAGATTGAGTAGGCAAATATTTAACAAGAAATCTGTCACTCCACAAAGCCAGACATAGACTTCAAAGAGGACCAAATTAATCTATGCTGTTAAAGCCAATCTCTTGAGGAAGCTTTTAGAGTACAAGTGATATTTTCTTCTTTTATTTTCTTCTTACCTAATTTTTGTGTCTGTTTTTATTTGCTTGTTCTCTTGTGGTTGCTGTTTTGAGACAATGTCTCACTATGTAACTGTGTCCGGCCTGAAATTTGCTATACAGCCCAGCTAGCCTTAAGCTTGCAGGGAACCTCCTGCCTCTGACTCCCAAATGCCAGCCTCACAGGCATGTGACACCATGGCATGCTCCACTTTATTTCTTTTAATTTTATTTTATTATGTTCTGTATATAAGTCTGCCAGCATGTATGTGTGCCTGGTGACAAGGAAGCCAGAAGAGAGTGTTGGGTTCTCTGGAATTGTAGTTACAGATGATTGTGAGCCACCACGTGTGTACTGGGAATCAAACCCTGGTCATCTGGAAGAACAGCCAGTGCTCACAACTGCTAAGTCATCTCTCCAGTCCCCCTACATTTTACTTTTTGATCTGGGTTATGGATACATGGTTGTGTACACTTTCTAAAAATCCACTGAGTCAACCACTTAACAATGCAGGTCTATATTTTCCTGCTCATGTTATACCTTAAAATAAACTATGAGTATATCATAAAATGATACAATAATGATATCATTTTCTAGAAACCGTTGGCTTGTGACTATAAATTGGACATAGAAAAGGCAAGAAAAAATATGTGTGAGCGGTAAAGATCTACAGCAAAGTATGCAAGGCTTTATGGTTGATTTATAAGAGTAAGGGCGATTTGGTGCAGAAACAAAGCAGTTCAAGAAAAACCATATACGTAAGGACACATGACATACAACAAAGCACCAACTGGATGACGAAGTGCTAGCAACACAGCTTATAGCCCATGTGGAAAAGCAGCCTAAACTGAGCTTCAGTTTCTGTTTATTGAAAAAAAAAAAAACTCACTCTCCAAACCAGGGTGCTCTAGATTTCGCTCTGCAGCCCACGATCACACTAAAATGGAAGCAATCCTCCTGCCTCAGCCTCTTTAGCACTAAGATTACAGGTATGAACCATCACAGCCAGCTTTACAGTTTAAATCAGTAATCCACACCACATTCAGAAATAAATTACCTCGGGATAGAAAAGAGTTCTTGAAAAAGATATAAAAAGTACAAAGAAAAAAACTGAAAATGATCACAAAGACATACCCTCATAACACAAACAATAAGTGATTACATCCCTATTGCAGAAAGACTCCAGTGAATCTAAGAGAACACCAACAGCCAACTGTCTGAGGAGGCAGCCAAGGACATCGAAAGGCCATACTGAGAGTCTAGAAGACTGTGACGCCATGCGTCAGAAGCCCCAGATTACCTGTTCTTCCTCTATCTGAATGAGGCCCGGAGCATTTTTCTTGTTTTCAAATAGTTTCGTACCTCAGCTTCTATGTTTCCAACATGTTAAAATCTATATTTATTAGATAACTGTAAAGGTTTCATCACTGGAAAATTATAATTGTTTCAATGGATAATGGTAAGAATTGGATTAGAAAATTTTAAAAATAATGTACAAGTAAAACATTAACTTAACAGAAGATGTCTTGTAAAGCATTAATTTTCTTTCATCACTGTGTTAATCCTCCTTGTAACAACAAGCAGGTCTGGGTTTGTGTGAAAGCAAAAAAGGAAAGTTGATGGAGAAATACTCAGCAGCGTATTCTAGTACCGTCCCTGAGAGGGGACCCCTGACAAGTCACTGCAAACAGCAGGTTTGCCTGGTCACTTTCTGTCATTCATTCACCCGACAGAGTGTTTAAAAACACACTATACATACAGGGCCCTGGAGAATTCTAAACAACCACAACAAAAAAACTGATTTTCATCAGCTCCAACAGGGAAGACACGTAACAAATAATGATCAGTTATACAACTGATTAATTCATTACTGCAGTTCTGAGTGTGTCAAAGTAAAATAATAGTGTGCATGAGTATATGTAACAGGGGACCTGACCCAGTCTCAGGCCAAGGAAGGCATCCCGGAGGAAGTGGCATTTAAGCTAAGATCTGTGGTACATCAAAATCTCATTCTTGGATGACATAAACCATTAAGATCATCCATCTAAAGCCATGGCTTTAATGCCCCGTTTACCCAAAACCCTTCTGGCTTTAATTATACCCTCAACCCGAATCTTCCTAAAAGTGTATGTTGATCCCTGCCAGGAGCAATTCAGTTTGCTTGGTACTTTACCTCTAGTTCTGCATCTAAGTAAAGTACATTAGGCATTTTCTGAGCCACCAACAAAACAAATGAGGTAGAGTGGTAACAAAACAAGCCCTGGGTTCCAACACAGTTGGCCTATGAACACCTGAGACACTATTTCCTCACATGGATGAGGAAGGAAATTTGGTACAGCTCTGAGATCTCTGCCAAATAGGAGAAAGGAATCATCTGGGGAAGGAGATCATGTACCTTTGGCCTTCTTGGTTGCAAAATGGCGAACTGGTGCTGCTGGATAGGCTGAGGATGGCCTATGGTCATGCTGTCTTACGCTCACTGTCTTCATGGAGATTTCTGAAACAGGTCTGGTCAAAGTAGCAAGGTAACTGCAAAAGGCAGGGTGCAGCAGACGGAAGCACTTCACTCCCGAGGCCATGATGGAAGACAATCCTCAGAAACAGCCACTAAGAAGAGTAAGACAAAAGATCTCAGTAAGTGGACAGTGGGATTCAAAAAAGTGCAAGCCTTTAATCCCAGCACTCTGGGAGGCAGAGGCAGGCGATCATTGGGTTTGAGGCCAGCCTGGTGTACAGAGTGAGTACCAGGACAGCCACAGCTACACAGAGAAACCCTGTCTTGAAAAGAAATTAAAAAGTGGCAGGGGGAGATCCCAGTAAAAGAAAACCTACATCAACTTCTAAAACTAAGTCATGCCAACTACCAAGCAACTCATCCAACTAAGCATGAACTTGGCCCTGTGCATACATTATCCCTAGCCCTCCCAGCAGCCTCGGGAAGAACTGTTACCCTCATTTTACAGGATGAAGAAACTGAGGCTCAGGGACCTGAGTGACCTGTGCAGCCTGTGGCCTTCTTTCAGTGCATCTAAATGCCTCTGAAGCAAATGCGCAGCAGGCTGAAACTGTAATGATGCTAATTAAGCCCTTATATGTGCATAGGCACAAAATCTTGATAAAGCTTAAAGAGGAAGGGTAGAGTACTGGAAGGGGACTTTAAGTAAGAAAAACACTTTAATAGGCATAAAATGACTAGAAAATTTACATGGCAGCATTTAATTAAAATTTTCTTTGGTTCCTTATGCACTGATTACCAATTAGAATGCACTTTAATTTGAGTCTGAAGCATGATTGAGGTTGGAGGTCTTCCACGGTCTAGAACTGAAAAATGCCACCATCCACTGAGTTAAAGCAAGTTATACACACTTCTGAGGTCTCTGACCAAAAAAGGATGCTACTGCTTCCTCTGAGACAGAACACAGTCCTAGCCAACAAATATAACACTAAGAGCTTCTGCCAAGAATATGGCTGTTACTTAGCTAAAAATTAAGAACAATTAGTATCAAGTGTCTGGAAGCACTATCTTTGAAAATCACATCTCATTAAAAAAAAAAAAAAACTGCTAAAATGTTGATGCAGCATAATGGGGTAAACAAGAGCAGGCGCTCTGCAGCAGGAACATAAGTCCAACCCCAGCTCCCCCGCAGACTAAATACCCCTGAGAGTCTCTGCGTCTCCATCTTCTCTTCTGTAAAATGGGACTGAAACTTATTTCTTCAAGTTGGGAATAATGAGGCTAGGCAGGAAGAACACTTGGCATGGTGATTACTAGATAACAGGGACACAAAATATAATGCTTGTTGATAGCTATTAGTTTTCCTTTCAAGGACTTCTGCGCTAGGATCAGACGTGAAGACACCTGCACGTATGTCTGGACTGATTGGTAAAGTGCCCTAGATTACGTTAGACAGGGATATGAATTTCTGCTTGGGGCAATTCATCCTTTCCATATCGATGAGAAAGAAAAGCCTCATTTAAAAATGAACTACTGAGTACTTATAAAACATACACGTACATATAAAACACCCAGCAGGTTACCTGGAATACACTAACTGCTCAAGACACGTGACTATTATTACTACTGCTTCTTTCTTTATAATGAAAAGATGAGCAACACATAAGGCCGCACGTGGTGAGGCACACCTTATAATCCAAGGAGTTAGGAGGTGCAGGCAGGAGGAAAAAAAGGACTAGGAGGAATTTGAGGTCATCCTCAGTTACACAGCAAACTAGAGGCTAGCTAAGTTAGATGACATCCTGTGTTAGGGGGGAAAACAAGCAAAACGATGAGTAATACAAGGGCAAACAATTCCTACTGATGGACTTTTTAACAGCAAGTTATGCTGAGTATCTGCAATGCGCATGTGCACTCTACAAACTCAGCCTTGTGACTGCTTGCTTTACTCATTAGCTCGTTTACTCCTGTCAGTAATGCTCCAGATAAAGCATTACAGTCCCTGTTTTGTAGATGCTGAAATGGAGGCTCAGAGAGATTAAGTCACTGTCCAAGAATATGGCATAATCTAGTCTAGAAAGCAAGTCAAGGACAGTCAGGCTACACAGAGAAACCATCTCGAAAAACCAAACGAAACCAAAAATCTGTTTGGCTGAGTGACAATTCTGAATCGAAATTTCCACCTAATATAGCCAATGCCCAACTCACATTTAGAGCCAAATATGGGTGTATAATAATGTGCAGTTTGGGTTTTTTTAGTGGACAGGGTCTCAATCTGGCTGCAGTGTGTATGACACGTTTCCTGGAGTTCCTGTTGTGGGTCACAATGCACAGGAAACTAAAATGGGTTAGAAATAAACAACCTCTGACAGAAAATGCGGCACCAAAAAGCAGAGCGATACACGTGAACCGGAAGACAATTCTATAAATAAAGCATTCCACATTGCTGGAATGCTTGAGGCATACATTTCATTGCCTAGAAGCCATGAAATCTCACAGTGGAAGTTCAACAAGCAGTCGTTTGGGTCTTTCACTTTATGAACATGAATGGTCAGATCAACACATATAAAAGATTGACACGGAAGAAGAAACTTCTTATGAGAAGTTTAAGTTTAAGTTTAAGGATAACACTGACGGACTCACGAGAGCCTGTTTCCCCACTTACTGCACATGTGACCTTAAGGTTAGCCTCCCTCAGCAACTACTTCCGCCAGATCTGTTTTCACTTTGAATAACTAATAATTTAATAATATTTTTGTTTAATTTTTAAAAGTCTCATACACTTGTGAACCTACATCCTGGCTTGTCCACTGTCCCAGCAACCCCTTCCAACCAGCAGTGTACTCATGATACACAATGTCAATTTCCTTTTTATTTATTTATTTTTTTTTTTGAATTTTTGAGACAAGGTTTCTCAAGACAGATTTCTCTGTGTGGCTGTCCTGGAACTCACTCTGTAGAGCAGGCTGGTCTTGACTCAGAGATCCACCTGCCTTTGCCTCCTAAGTGCTGGGATTAAAGGCGTGTGCCACACCACTGCCCAGCTGCACTTAATTTTTAATAAAGATAAATTTATATGTGTAATTATATGTCCTTGTCTAAGTATCTCCATATGGCTGTTGGCACTCCATGGATTGTTCTAGCAGGCAAATCTACCTACTACTACTCTTCTTGCTTACTACTGTACCCTGTACTTAGTATAGTACAAGAAGATGGACATCATACAAATGTGATAAGTATGGTGATGGATGTCCTTTAGTTAATAGCTGAGGATATAAAACCAAGCGAGGAGAAATTATTTGCTACAGTTCTCGTCCTTGGCACAAGCCAAAGGAGGAATGATAAACATTTAACAAGTGAACAAAAGGCCTCACCAAAAGACTAGAAGACCTGGATTCCAACTTCCCTCCCTCACCAATCCCCATCACATGCATCTTTGCAATTCACAACTACCCATATTCAGAAAGCATGTACTGCACCATTCTACCAAGGACAGGAACTGTAGCAAGTTATTTCCCCTAGATTGGTTTTAAACCTCGGCCATTAACTGAAGGAATCAGATGAGGTTTCCAGCCTTTCCAATTACAAAGTTCTCCAAGATTCTGGGAAATGCAATGGAATTCTGTCGAAAGAGAAGGCATCGCCTATCTAACTGGCCATGTGTGGTGGAACCACGCCACAATGAAGACCCTTACTGGGGTAGATCTTTCTAGAGGCTGAACCCTGGGACACTACAGAAAATGTAAAGGACATGATCCAGGATAAGGAAAGAATTCCTCCTGATCGGCAGAGGCTCATCCTTGCTGGTAAACAGCTGGAAGATGGACGTACTTTGTCTGACTATAACATTCAAAAGAAGTCCACCCTTCAACCTGTGTTGAGACTTCGTGGTGGTGCTGAGAAAAGGACACTCTTACATCACACTCAAGGAGAATAAGCATTAGAGAAAGAACATTAAGTTGGCTGCGGAGAATTACTGTAAGGTGAATGAAAATGGCACAATCAGTCGGCTTTGTCGAGGGTGTCCTTCTGCTGAATGTGTGGTGCTGGAGTTTGCATGGCTAACCACTTTGACAGACATGACTGTGGCAGGTGTTGTCTGACTGCTTCAACAAAGCAAGAGGACAAGTAGTTGTGTCTGAGTTAATAAAAAGACAGGACTAGAAAAAAGAAAGAGCATCAAACTTTGAGACAGCATGGCAAGAGTCCTGAAGGCACTTCCCACATATGTGATCTCAATCTGTAAAACTTGCCAGAGTCACGGAAATGTTGAAGCACCATTGAAATGACAACTGTTTGCCCACAGGACGGCAGAATGACGATTTTAAAAGCTCAGGCGTTCGATTCAGGCCTGGGTGGAATTTCAACTCCATCACTTGGGAGCCGCGTGACCTTGGTAAAGATAGCGCTAAGTTTGTTTCTTCCTCAGCGGGAATAACTACACCCCCGCGCGTGGCGCAATTTGGAAAAGGCATTATTCTTTTCAGGTGACGTCCTAAATATCAGGAACTATTTAGTAAGCAGCCTGGCAAGGTTCTAAATGCCGGCTGAGTGACACGCGCTCCGCCCTACCCCTGAGAGCGTACAGGGAGCAGAAGTCCCGCCCCCGGCGTTCAGGTCGAGCAGAACGCTGCTGAAGCAGTCACGGATGGTAGCCGAGCCCCGCGAGGTCCCTCCGAGGTCCTTGAAAAAGGGTCACTGGCACCAGGCTCCCGCCCGCTCCTTGAGACCCCCCCTCTCCTGACTCGGAGGCCACTCACCACCTACAGCCCGGATTACAGAGAAACACACAAGCGAAGGCCGAGGCGGCGCCGCGGCGTCGTGACGTCACGGCGCGGCGCGGCGGCGCGGGCGTAGTACGTCACGGGCGGCCGGGCGGCGAGAGGTGTTTCGACCGCGGTCTCCACACGTCCGTCGCTCGGACCCCTGCCTCGGAAGCTGCTTTCGGGGCAGGAGCTGGGGGCACACTCCGAGACTAGCGGGTGAGTACCCGAAGCTCAGCGCCGTCCTGGCCGCAGGGCCTTGGCGGGGACTGCCCTCACCCGCAGGCTTCTAGGCCCCGCCCCGGATTGTCCTGGCCCTGGCCCGGAAATAACAAGCCCATTAGTGACTTTTCGCAGCCTGGAATCGGGAAAGCCTGGTGGTTCCTGGCCTGAGCCCGCAGTTAGCGTGTAGGAATGAGTGACCCCAGGCCCCTCCTGGCATCTCGAGTTGATACAGCTCAGCTGGGAGGAATAAAGAGGCATTTGTGAACTGTTAACTAAAGGGGTTTTGCAAACCCCAGAAGATTTGATAGCCGCATACTATCTTATTAGACTTTACTGTTTCTCAAAAAAAAAAAAAAAAAAAAAAAAAAATCCACGTGCTGAGCCGTCACTTGTATATTTTTATTTAAAATAACCATGTGATACAGAAATAATGGTCTCCATCTCTGGAAAGAAGAGAATTGATTTGGTCTCATTCATTCTCTCAGAAAACTGCGAGGAGCCAGGTAGAAATCAGAAAACTGCGAGGAGCCAGGCAGTCCACTATGTGCTGGGCCTAGCACCATGATCAAGAGGAGGGCCCTGTTCTGTAGGAGCTTTTATTATTTTAGAGACATAAACAAAGAGTAAATAACCTATTGTTTTCACGTTATATGGGAAGGGGGGAAATGGCAGGAACTGAGGATGTGAGGAGGATTCCTAAGGGAAAGACTTACTAAAGGCACCATAATTGGCAAAGTCAGTTCTCGGGTCCAGGTCTCTCTAGCCCCATGCCTTGTAGTCTTCTTATTGAAACATGGGCTCTTTGAGTATCTTTTGGTGTATATTGTTGCTTTTAGACATGAAAACATCAAAGTTCTAGCATTCAAATCCAAGTCCACGTGCTCAAAAGTAGTGCAACCCCCAGTCATGTCACCCTTCTCAATGTTGTTTGCATCATCTCAGTATCTGTCATTAATTATTTCAGTAATTCCCCCAACCTTTTTTTTTTTTTTTTTTTTAATTTAGTTCTGCATCCCTTTCAAAAATTTCTGAGAACGGGGTCTATTTCCTACAGGGCTGAGCTCTGAGGCACTTCTAGACAGAGAAGACACATGTTTTCTAGCAGGGTAGTCTGAAGTCTGGCACAGCCCAGCCTGTTATCTTTCCTTTATTGTGTTTTATATTTATTGAAATTTCATTTTTCATCAACTCATTTTTTAATCTTCTCAGCAACCTTAACTAATGAGCAAAGCAAGGTTTATATTTGAAGATTTTTTTTTTTTTAGATTTATTTACTCTATGTGCACGAGCCTGTATCTGTGTATGCGCAGCACACGTATGCAGCGACTGCAAAAGTTAAAAGAGGGCATCTCATCTCCTAGCACAGAGGTTCAGGATGGTTGTGAGCCACCAAGTGGGTGCTGGGAACGAACCCCTGGGTCCTCTGCGAGATTAACATGTGCTCTTGACTGCTGAGTTGTCTCTCCAGCTCCTCAAATTTTATTTTAGAACAGGAAGAAACTAAGCCAGCAAGATGGCTAGCCAGTAAAGGTGCTTTCCATCTAACCCTGACAACGTGAATTCAATCCCTAGGACCCAAGTAAAAGTGAAAGGAAAGAACCAACTCTAGAGAGTTTGTCTTCTGATCTCTACCTGTGCTACATGGTAATAATGCACAGCCCGCTCGCCCCCCATGATAACAAAGCAAAAAAATAAGAACGAGGAAACTGAGTTACCAAGAAAAATAACTTCGACGGAAATGAAACAACTTAAAACCAAGTCTTCTGGCTCTGGGCTTTTTGCTCTTTCTGTTACTGCCTGTATCACAATCCTCATTCTCCTTGCCTGTGAAACAAGATACTTCAGGATGAAGACTAGGTCTTGAATACTTAGAGAAGTGTGGTTCTAAAGACTGTAGGGGTATAATTTGGCAGAGCTACACACCTTTGTGAGATACTGTCCTTGGAAGGGGGTGAAAGAGAAGAGTAGTTAAGTGACTTGCCAAAAGTTACACTAAGAAAGCATATGGTGAACTGTAATAACTAAGCAGACCTGTCTCTTGTTTCCGCCAAAACAGTAAACTGGGTGATCAATAGCTGTTAGATACTGGCTACTTAGTGTTGTTAACAGTGATTTTCTTGGGTGTGTAATCTTCACAGCTATCCTGTAAAGTAAGAACTGTTACCTCTCATTTTACATTTGAGGAAGTTGAGGCCTATAAAATTCATATAGTTAAGTAAGTCACACAGCCTGCTTTCAAATCCAGCTCTGACTCCGGAATCTTTGCTCACATGTTTGGTACCACCTCCTCCCTTTGATGTATTACTCTAAGAAGAACAAGAACATAAGCTATTCTTCCCTGCCCGTTCCCTTTAACACCATCAAGACTGCCTCCTTTTTCTTCTGGAGTATTATGTGGTGATAGAGCCTTTGGCCTCCTGCGTCAGGAAGACTTAAGACTCACCACACAACCAACCATACCTCTTTATCCTAAAAGGCAACTCTGGCTGCCAGGAGGGCTGTCCCAGGGGAACTAGTCCAGGGCTCCAGCTAGGGAATAACGGATCTTTAAAGGACTGCCCAGAGAGCATGCCTTCCTTGGATAAATGTTTGGATTGCATGTGAGGTCTTATGTTCACACAAGATTGTTTTACTCTCCTGCCTGAATGTTTAATTCACATTGCTTTTAGTATTTCTTAGAGATTGATGGAAGCAGAAACTAAAACTCTTCCCCTGGAGAACGCATCCATCCTTTCAGAGGGCTCTCTACAGGAAGGACACCGATTATGGATTGGCAACCTGGATCCCAAAATCACAGAGTAAGTCCAGTCACTTTGTTGATGTGCGCAAAGGTGCAGTGTTTGCTGCAGATGCTCAGGAGACTTTCCACAGCAGTGGTAGCATCTTGATCCCTTCAGTTGTGTTGGAATTTTTCACCAAAGGGGACATGATGCTATTCTTAGCCTGTTTCTATTTTCCATATGACTGTGAGGACAGACTTTGGATTTTCTTCAGACATAAACCTCTTTCTTCCTACTCAACAAAAAGCAAAACTCTTTGCCAACTGTTCAGTTCTGTTTATGGAGAATCATTCTAGAACCAACCTGAGACATATTTTGTCTCCCAGAATGGAAAAACAAGTAGTAGTCTCAGGATCTTTGTGAATAGGCATATAGGCCCACTTGACTGACTGCTATAAGCACCCACACAACCATAAAAAGTGAGAGTGGGAAGGGTTCTTAGAGATCACCCTAGTGCCTTTGGTTTTCACTCATCCATTAAATGATTGGAGTGCCTGCTGTGTGCCCGGCACCGTGCTGAGCAGTTTAAACTAGAGAAGCCCTGTGATAAGTAAGTCTGAAGGAAGCCATGTGTAAATTAGGACTCCTGAGCTGCTTTGACCAAGGAGAAAAAGGAGACACTCGAAGCCTTTTGTCAACTGCCGCTCTTCTTTTGGCAGTCCCTAAGCAGGCTCCATGGGTCAAGGTCACATAGGGACCTTTGTTACCATCCACTCTCTTTCCTTACAGTAAAGGAAATGAGGGTCTAAGGGGCAGAATTACCTTGCCCAAGATTACATTACTAATTGAACACAATAGTCCTGACTCCCAGTTTTTCATCAGGGCTGTTACATTGAGAAAAAATGTCTTGGCAGAGAATTAATATTTTTTTTCTTTCCACCGCTTTTTTGATGGAGTGGAAGGTGTTGGTTGGTGGGTAGAATAGCAAAGGGTAAGTAGACTGACCTAGATGGAATCAGTGCTTAATAAACTTGCTTAATAAAGCTTGAAATAAGCCGACAGACTTGAAATTACTCCTATAGGACTAAGTAAATACAAGGGTAAGAAGAAAGGAAACCTGCTTACTTGCGTCTAGGATGAGATGAGGTGTATATAAGGACTGGAATTAGGAAACAGGAAAAGAGATGTAATTTACATCACAACAAAGTTTAGCTCCAAAACCTTCACAGGCTCAAATCAGATAAGTGTAGGTAACATTGGGTATCCATATAAGTTACAGTGATATTGAAGGTCTGTTGCCTTCATGGCATGTTACTGTGGTCATGGGAACACTGGAATGTGGCTTGTTCCCATTACCATCCTCTCTTAGGACTGAGGATGGATGTGTCAATCAGTACACGCTCTTAATTAATGTGTGTTCATCTAAGTTTTTCCAGGCTGTAAGGGGATGCTCCCCAGAGTGGTTTCCATTCCCACCTCTCCTTGTCTGAATGGAAATCTAAAGCATGGAAACAATGTTGGCTGTCGTTCTCTTTCATGAGGCTTCTATGTTGTTCATGTCCTGCTGCTTGTCAGAGAGCTTCATGAAGGCATTTGCCCCCGGCTATGTCAGAGTAAGCGTAGGGATATATCCCTGACTCCCCTCTCTAAAAGGAACATTGGATTAAGACTTTCCCATTGATGTTTCAGTCACAGACATTAAATGCCAACCCTAGTTCAGGGCCTTGCTGGCCAGGAGTGCAGTGCTCCACCTGTAGTATTCCCATTTCTGTATTGCCAAAACAATGTTCTCTAACTTCCTTACCTTGAAATGATTTGTCTCTCAAACAAACTGATTTGCTACATAATTTATTTTCAAAAACATAGCTGCCAATCAAACTTACAGTTCATTCACATGAAAGCTTAGTGTCACTTTGCTAAATTTCATGAGTCTTGTGGAATCATTTCCTTCAGGTTGCTCAAATACACTAACTTTTAGAACCTGCCTCTCAAAGGGTAGAAAATCGTGAGCCTAGTTAAGGAATTAACATACAGTCCCTTCCCAGCAGTGAAGGAGCATGAACATGTGGTGCTTAATGTTGTCAGTTGAATCCAAATCTCTAATCTTCTAATGACTTGC